GGTACCAAGTGTTATAATCAGAGCGTTAGTAAAAATATATAATGGTCAAAAATGACTGATATTTTTTGGATTTTCTCTATAGAGATAAGAAACACAGTATTATGACCAAGTTTGTTTGAGGTGTAGAGTCTATGGCATGAGGACTTAGACATTCTGGAAGATATCTTCAATATTAGATTGAATCTGCTGATCTGGAGGTAGGGAAGACAGAGGGTAAGCAAGCATGCAGAGACACAATAAAAAGACAAAAGTACAGAGTATTTGCAAACACATGCAATAAAGAACAGGAAAGAAAGAGACATCATTAAGGGAAACAAAGAGAATGGTTAGGAAGATAGGTGAATCAGAGGAGTATAGGTAAACTTAACAATTTTCACTGAGCACTACCTTGGATCAAATGCTTTGCTAGGTAACAGGAACCCAAATGTAGAAAACAGTCCCTATAATTAGCTATGATCTTCCGGTATGAATTTCATCTCTATGTCTCATCTGAAACATACTTCTGTGACTTCTGGTGATCAAATTCAGTCTGGAAGGGAGAGCATCCTCTAAACCATTTGATGACAGGTTTTAGGAAAGAAGAAATGACTGACAGTCATCTGTTGCAGAGATGTGGAAGCAGGTGAGGGCTAGAAGAGAGGCTTTTGGCTTTGCTGATTAGGAATTCATGGTAATTTCGTAACAATAGATACCAGGGTTACTGCAGAAATGTGAATAAAGGACAAAAAGCTAAATTATGGTAGATTAGAAGGTTAAACAATTAGGTAATCTATGGAAACTACTTTTTTAAGTGATCTGAAGAATGATGTGGTGGTCACTAGAAAGAGATTTTTTTAACTGTTGGTTGTGGCATGAGTATGTTCACAGGCTTAGAGATCAACAAATGGGGGAGAGAATAGGACAATGTCTGAGAAGAGGCTACTGGGTTGATGAACTCTGTGAGAACAGAGCCTATGTAGTAATAAGAAACAAATGAAGTGGGAGTAGTAGATTCCAGTTCTAAAACTCCTTTACCTAGCTTAGGGGTCAAAATGTGAGGTTCCTGAGAGGTTTCAGGCTTCAGCTTGCAGTTCAGGGAAGAATGTTCAAAAGAAAAGTAGGATAAAGGAAGAGGAAGTTGACTTAAACCACAATAGGCCTGGCTCAGATTAGATGGGAGGTTCAACTTCCTGCCAGAGGAGCACCAGTTCATGTGAAGAGAAGTGAGAAAATCTCCTTATTTGTGATCCCCCAAAACTTAGAAATACTTCTCCTGCTTTGGAGTAAAAATTGATATGATACAGCCTGAAGGCATCGAAAGACTAAAATGGACCTTCCAAGTGGCATGTAGACAGTAGAAAAATTGGTTTGAATTCCAGCTCAGCTGATTACTGAATAACTTGAAGTAAGTCATTTGAGCACTCTGAAGTTTAATTTCCTTATCATTGAAAGGTATGATAGCAACTCTGACCTTATAGAGTTGTTATGGAGATTACATAAGAGGATGTGCATAAAACATCTAGCTTGGGACAGAGTAGCCATTCTTCAACTGTTGTCTCTCTTCTCCCACTTCCTCTGGTTCCCTAGTCCTATCAACACAGCGTGCTGGAGTCTCCAGCCCTGCTATCCCTCTACCCGACCCCTGCTGCACTCTTGCCACCTTTCTTTCTTCTCTTTATTATTAATAGATAATGAGAAGATGGAAAAGCTTGTGTATGCTGAGAATTTATGCCACAATGTCCAAGAACTGACCATCTTCTGGATAGTGTCAAAGTTGCTAGAAAGACCCACAGAGCTTCTTACCCTTTCCTATCTGCCTCCATTGCCAAGACTTGCGGATAAGCCAGGCAGCTTCTAAGATGTCTTATATCATCAGTGGCTTAGACAAATGAGCCTATTATATGAAAAAAGGTACTTCTAGGCTCCAAAATATATCTTTCCTTGTTAGAGATCGATGATATCTACTTTGTACTCATAAGTGCACCATCAGGTCACACTACAAATCCCATGGGGACTCAGATTCAGGTTCAGGTCCAATTTCAAAGGAACCTTCACTGAGGGCCACCCACGGAGGTCCAAAACAGGCCCAGAGAAATTCTCAAATGAGAAAATTCATCCCTTACAGTTGTATTATCACTTTGCAGTTTAGAAAGTTTTTTTCATATATGTTAGGTATTTATATATATGTGCATATATTTAATATAATATCAATAATGTTTATATCATTATAAATTATCTACAATGAACAATCATATTCACTATAATAAAAAATCAACAGGTATCTAGTACTATAACTGTAGTATAATTAATGTTAATATTATATATGTACACATATACACAAGGCCCAGAGAACTTTAGTTTAGATTATACTTTAGATCTTAAACATTTTTTGAAGAAAGACTTTTCTAAACTCTCATACCAGATTAGGTTTACTATTATTTGCTCTCATAGTACCCTATATTTATTCTGTATAACACTTAAATTTTTATTCTGAGATACTTTGGCAAGTGCCTGTGTCCCTCCTTTGAATGTGAGTTCCAGGAAGGCAGGCCCTTGGTCAGTCTTGTTATCTTTGGCACCCTTGCTACCTAGACCACTTGACCAATCTATGAATGGGAGAGAGAAGAGGGCCCTTTAAAGACCACACAGTTCACCCTATTTATAAATGGGGAGTGAGGGAGTGATTTAGTTTGAATATGTGTCCCCACCCAAATCTCATGTTGAAATGTAATCCCCAGTGTTGTAGGTGGGGCCTGGTGGGAGGTAATTAGATCATGGGGATCGTTTCTCATGATTGGTTAACTCCATCTCCCTTGGTACTGCTGTCGCAATAATGAGCGAGTTCTCATGCGATCTGGTTGTTCAAAAGTGTGTAGCACCTCCTTCCTTTCTCCTTGATCTCTCTCGCCATGTGATGTGCCTGCACCCCTTTTTCTTCCACCATGACTGGAAGCTTCCTGAGCCCTCCCCAGAAGCAGATGCTGCTATGCTTCCTGTACAGCTTGCAGAACCATGAGCCAATTAAACTTTTTTAAAAAATATAAATTGCCCAGTCTCAGGTATTTCTTTATAGCAATGTGAGAATGAACTGATACAGGGAGACCAATACCCAGAGCAAAAAGGAAATTTTCCAAGGTGATATTATAAACCATGACACAGCAGGACCTGGAACTCATGTGTCCTGACAGTCTGTCTAGAGCTATTCTCAATGAACCTTCAAACCTGATGGCTTTCAGATATCACATCATCAGGAACCAGAGTCCAAAAAAGATCAAAGCTTTTGTTATTCAGATATCACCTCATTTTCTGGCCTTGCAGAACAGGAAGAATATTTTCATCAACAAATATTTATTGAGCACCTACTGTATAAGCAAGGCAGCTCTAAGCACTAGGGATAGTTATGAATAAGATAAAATCACTACCTTCATGGAGCTTACACTCTAGCAGGGCACATAAACAATAAACAAAACTATAAAATGCTAGAAACAGTCAGACAAAAGGCAAATGACAAACTAGTAGAAATAATTGCAATTCTCATTATATACAAAGGAAAAACTTCTCTAATATACAAAATACTCCCAAAACCAATTAAGAAAAAGAAATCAGCAGTCCAGTTGAAAACTGGGTATGACAGATGTGGTTCCTACTCTCATGGAGCTTGTAACTGAGAGGAATAACTCTTCTTTTCTTTAAGGCTAGGGCAAATAGCTAGGCTCCAGGGTTTGAGGGGACTGAAGGATATGGTGAGTCATTGAGTAGCCTCTCTTATGCCATCTTAGGGATAAAAGTCTAAATTTTAGAATTTGGAATTCTAAATTCTAACAAAATTATAAATCTTAATTCTGCCACTTACTAAATATGTGATGTTGAAGGAAGCTGCTTAATTTCTTCAAGCTTCAATGCCTCCATTTGTGAAATAGAAATGATTCTTATAAGGTTATTGGGAAGAATAAGTGATATAATAGTGAGTGAGAGTAAGTGGTACATAGTAAGCACTCAACAAAAGTGTTTTTCTTCCAATTTCCACTCCTTATTCTGCCTAGGATTGAGAATAGAGGGCAGTGTCCCTTCTGATGTCAATATGAAGCTTTTTTGCTTCTTATCTTGCATTATCTGGCCTTTATAGGAGCTCTCATGATCCCATTTTGAAAACCGGTGAGGTACCAATTTATTAGGAATTGACTAATTCCTGAATCAGTGCCAAATCTAGTTCTAGCAAATGCTTAGCTGTGGTGAAAACTCAAGGGTCTGGTCTAAATTTTCTTTTTGTTTCCCAAAAGGCACAATTATTGCCTTTCCTTTACTCAGAGAACAAACTAAGAAGATGAAAACATTTTGTGTGTGCCAAGTCAATGGTATCGGGGCACCCGCCCCAGTCTGAATTAGGAAATATCTCTCTGCTGATATATAGATCGATACAGATATAGATATAGATATATTCATTTAGTTTTTATTGTAAATTTATAATTGTATTTGTGGAATACAAAGTGATGTTATGATTTATAAATACAATGAGGAGTAATTAAATTTAATTAATATATCCATTGCCTCGAATGCTTACAATTTGTTGAATAATTTGAAATTTACTCTCTTAGCAATTTCAAAACATGTAATACATTATTATTAACTGTATTCATCATGCTGTGCAATAGATCTCGAGAAACACCTATTCCTTCTGTCTGAGACTTTGTATCCTTTGAAACTTATCTCCCCATTCCACCTACCCCTAAGCCTTTGTAACCACCATTCTACTCTCTGCTTTTATAACTTTCATTATCTTCGATTCCACATGTAAGTGAGATCATGTGGCATTTGTCTTTTTGTGCCTGGCTTATCTCACTTCACAGAATCTCCAATTCCATTTATATTGTTGAAAAGGACAGAATTTCCTCTTTTTTATGTATTTTTTTGAGACAGGGTCTTCCTATGTTGCCTAGGCTGGAGTGCAGTGGCTATTCACAGGTGATAATAGTGCACTACAGCCTTGAACTCCTGGGCTCCAGTGATCCTCCTGCCTCAGCGTCTCCAGTAACTGGGACTACAGGCATGATATGAATAGTGGCAGTCAGGGACAGACTGGAGTGAGAATATATATTTTAAATAAATACACGTTTGTTCCTTCCAAATATACTATTAACAGTAGGCTATTGAAAATTGATTCCTGATTCCTTTCTTCGCTGTCCATTTAAAACTCTTGCCAAGGGAGTGTATATTTAGGGCAACTTAAATCTATGCACCCAAGCTGCAACGTTCAAACTTGGCCCAAATAAACTCTTTACTCATATTAAGAAACAAAACAAAACAAAACGACTGCTGCTTAGTAAAAACCTTTAGGTAGACCATTATAGGAAATAGACAAAAATGTTTGGTTAAGGCCACTTCAGTTATTTATGCCACAGATGGAAGCTTCTGAAGGGCTGTGACTGAGAGTTAGGTATGGGAAGTAAGCAGAACCAGTTTGATTTTCTGTCTTTAAACAACTCCCTGGAACTCCCATTTTATTTATTTCATTCATTTTGTTTTTCTAAGAAGCTAAACAAAAGTCAGGTTCAGCTCAGACTTATCTAATGATCATAAATTGGAAAGTAATGAGGTTTTCCTGGAAAAAACTGCCCTTAAAGACTGAGATGATAACTGACTTGAATTTGACATTTCCTACCCAGAAACATATTATATATTTTTGGAAGATTGCTCCAAAATTTCTACCATTCATAGATTGTTGCGTGATATTTAAATCCTACATCTGCCATTTACTAGCTAATTATAGTATCTCTCTCATAAGGTTGTTATGAGGATTACATAAACTAACATATGTAAAGGGCTTGAAACAGTGCCCAGCACTTAGTAAGCTCACAATACTTGTTCATTATTATTACAGTACAAACTGGATCTCTTAGTAGGTCTAAACTCTTTGCCAGATTTCCTCCAGAATACATTTGGTATGTTGCATAGGCCTTTGGGCTACTATCGTTCTTCTCTGCCTGTAGATACTCAAAAATACTAAAAATACTCTTAGGCTTATATTTGCCCTTTTGTATCAGTAGTCTCCCTATTCACACAAGCTCACCGTATTCTTTCCCATCTCTGCACCTTTACTTGGGTCCTTTCCTCTGCCTGGAATGCCTTTCTCTGATTATTAATCCAGTTATCCGTCAAGACTCTTTTAAAATTCTGCCTCTCCTGTGAAATCTCTAATCCAAGCAGCTGGAATTAACTTTTCTTTCCTCTTTGTTGCCATGGTCTGGACCCCTAAAATCCTAGGCTTGAATACAGAAGGGCGCTGCATCACCTATACCCTTTCTGGTTTCTCACGTCTCAAATGCTCAACATAGCATACAAGGCTTTTCTTAGTTTGGCCTCTGCTTAACTCTTCTACTTCCTTTACGCTTTTTTCCTTTGCTCACTCATTTTCAAGCCATACCAGCCTTTTATCTTGTTGCCTCTTCTGCTTGGAACTGCCTTGCACCCATTATCCACTTGGCTCACTACTTTTCATTTTTTCAGTCTCTCTTTAAAAGTTACATCCTTTGGGAATTTTTCTTGACCTGTCCAAGCCTGGTGGGTTATGTTATCCTGTTATGTGTTCTCCCTGCTCTCTGGTCTTTCCCCTTTCTTGACATATTTTAAGAATTTGTTTAATGGCTATTTTCCACCACACTGTATATGTCAAGAAGGCAGGCATTTTATATGTCTTGTTTACTTCTGCGTCTTGAGCACCTTGCATCATGCCTGACACTTAGAAAACATTCAACCTATATTTGTTTCATGAATAAGTTTAATCCAGACTTATTGTAGAAATGGAAATATGGAGGCCCAGAAAGGGAGAGGGATTTACTCAAGGTCACACAGAGAATCAGTGGCAGAGAAAAGACTGTAGCCCAGATCTTACGACGCTTAGTGCAGTGCTCTTTTCTATATATGCACCTCCGCCGTTGTACTCATTCTTTGAACATGCTTATGTAGCATTCTGGTTTCTGGACTAGGTTCTGAATTCCTGGAGGGCTGGGACCATGTCTTATACCTGATCTGGTCAATACAGTAGCCACTAGCCACATATGACAATTTCACACTAGAAACATGGCAAGTTCAAATTGAGATGTACTATTTGTATACACACTGCATTTCAAATAATGTAAAATATCTTATTAATAAACGTTTACATTGTTTACAGGTTGAAATAACATTGTGGATGTGTTGAGCTAAATAAACTATATTATTAAAATTAGTTTCACTTATTTATTAAAAATTTTTAAATGCAGTTGTTAGAATAATTGTGGCTCACATTACATTTGTATTATATTGTTGCATATTTCTGTTCTGTTGTATGTTTATTTTATTCCCTTGGTGCTAAGCATACAGCTTTGTAGCCGCTAGGTGCACAACACACCCTTGCTGCATATAGTTAAGCTGTAGTTAGTAGGTTAATTGCTGCCATTTATCTTGTCAATATCACTGTTTTGTGGTGAGCCTCACAATGAAACCTTTGTCCCCAGGCCCAGGTATACAAAAAGTTCTTTAGTTCTGGCCTGGGGATGCCCTACACGTTGCATCAGCCTTTGGATTTCCTTTCAGAGGAAACCACGATGCAATCCTATGCATAGCAATCACCAGGGGTGAGGTGGCGTGTGTGGACACCAGCAGCTTGCACAGGAAGTGGCCTTAGCTTTGCAATTTTCCCTAGGGCCACTTCTTGAAAGTCTTCTGAAAGGAGGTGGGGGTGAGTGAACAGGAAGATAAACTCAAAATGAAGGGTGAAGGGCTTCTCAGCTCCTTCATGGAGGTAGGGTAAGCTAAGCAATGTGGGGACATTGGGCCATGAGGTCTCTTTGTTTTGCTTATGCATTCACTTATTCACCTCACAGTTCTGGGATAACTAGTTTATTCCTAGGCCTAGGAAGACAGTAAAGATTAAGCATAGTTCCTACTTTGGGCAGTGCTTGGTCTTCTGGTAGAGACTGACACATAAGTGCAGTGTGGGTGTTTTTCAAGAATAGAGAAGGGCAAGGTGGAAAGCAACTAATTTTGTAGGTGGTTGTCAGAGAAGGCTTTCCAGAGACAGTGAGCATCATTTTTTCCTCCCTATCTTTTCAGATATAGCTAAAATCTTATTCTTCTGAGAACCTTTCTACTTACCATCACCTCCTCATCTTCTTCCCTGGGAGAATCTTATCTACATATCTGATGACACTTCATGCCTTTGTCAAATTACTTATTATATTCTGTAGAGTGACATAGCTCCTGGGGTGCACGCCTGTCTTCCACTTCCCTTTAGCCTGAGAATCCTTGAATCTGATGTGGGGACTAAGGCTCAGAAAGACTGTGTATGATTGTTCAAGGTCACATAGTTAATGAGTTACAGAGCTTTGTCTATAACCTAGGGTCTAAGATGCAGGGACTCTGATTCCATGTTCTTTCCATTCCAGTACTGAGGAAATAAATGAGTATCTGCAGTGTGAGACCCCAGCACTGCCTGCTTGCTCCCCTTGTCAACTCTTTTCCCTTCTGTCTCATCTCCCTCCACAAGCACAGGGAAGGCAGAAATCATTCAAAATGGGAAAGCTTTGTGACTTTTGGTTGCTCTGAACAGAAACCTGGACAACAGACCAAAAAGAAGAAGCCCTTTTGTGCTGTTATTGCAAACTTGGCCCTTCCCAGCATAGTTGGTGTTTGTGGGCTAAAGACGAACTCTGAGCTCAGTTCCCTTTGCTCTCATTCGAGTCCTCTGCATAGGTGGTATGATTTTCAGAGCCTTCTGGTTCCCTATTGTTGGGCTCAAAGTAGATACCGTTAATTATTACTTTAAGCAAACACATTGTCTCCAGAAACCCCAGTTAGAAAGCTAGTAGAGTACCCTAATTGATAAGGGAGAAAAGAGACGTGTGTAACTAATCTTAATCTCTATTTTGGAGTAGAAAGAAGGGGGTCCCTTTTTAGCAAAGTGCCCACAGGACCACCCTACTTCCGCTCCAAGCTTTAGTCAGAAACCAAAAAGAAACAGGAACTAAATCTTTCTAGAAGCTAGATCCAGGGTCTTGAGGCCTAAGCCAATACATTATTCTGGTAGAAGGAAGTTTTCTACAGAGTAATGTTAGTGCAAGTGAATCCCTACCTTAGAATTCCACGGAGCCTCAGGTCCTGCAACAACAGGGAAGCTCACAGTGAGTAAGGAAGAGCCACAAAAGAAACAGGGAACGTTTGAGTTGGAGTGGTCATCACGACCATTTAGTCCAACCTCTGTTAGTTAAAGGAGAAACTAATGCCCAGGGAGGGATTAGAGTGGGGACTAGGGTGCAGGTCTCTTGGCTCACAGGATGTGGTCTTTCTTTTGAATCTGAATTTATAAGAATGTATGTAGCTTGGAAAGGTTATTTACCATTGCTTGAGTACCACTCAGGGCCATACTTCCTCTACTGTAGACAAAGGACTGTGACTTGGGCACTGCAACCATTGAAAGCTATCCAAAATATATCCTGAAAGCATTGAAGGAATTGCCCCTCCCATTCTCCATGCCATCAGAATTCATGGTGGAGGGCACTGCATCGTGGGAATTCATCATCTTCCTGGCTGTTAATGGGGACTTCCTAGGGACTCTAAACATGAGGCACTAGGAAACCACTCACCCTCTTTTTACACCTTTCATGTCCCTTATTAGCCTAAAGGTCACAGTTTAACTTAGGGGTCTGGCACTGTCTTTCTTTCTCAAGGCCAACTACTTTCTTCCCTGCTTCCTTGTAGCCAATGTGGAAGAGTAGAAGAAAATCTCAACGTTTGGAGTTAGACCTGAGTGAAAAATCTGTCTTCTCTATTATTTTCTAGTTTTGTTTCCTAGAAACAAAAAGGCAAGTCACTTTATTTCTGTGTGCCTCAGTTTCCTCACCATAAATAAGAATAATGATAATACCATACCAGAGGGTTGCTGAATAAATTAGATAATACATGTAAAAGAACATCATAAGTACTCTAATAAATGTGAATTTTCTTATTTATTTCCTTCTACAAGCCCCGAGATGACAAAATGTGGTGTGTGGTTATAGCTGTGCCCCCCAGGGCCAGCTTCATAAGCATATGACCTCTATAGCTTCACAGGGCTCCATGCTTAGAAGGACTCCACACTTAGTTTAATGTTCTGTTGTTATCAGCTTGATATTTTTAGTTTTTTTTTTTTTTTTTTTTTTTTTTTTTTTGAGACAGAGTCTCGCTCTGTCGCCCAGGCTGGAGAACAGTGGCATGATCTTGGCTCACTGCAACCTTTCTCTCCCAGGTTCAAGTGATTCTCCCGCCTCAGCCTCCTGAGTATCTGGGACTACAGGCATGTGCCACCATGCCTGGCTAATTTTTTGTATTTTTAGTAGAGACTGGGTTTCATCGTGTTAGCCAGGATGGTCTCAATCTCCTGACCTTGTGATCTGCCTGCCTCGGCCTCCCAAAATGCTGGGATTACAGGCGTGAGCCACTGCGCCTGGCCTGTTCTTAATTTTCAAATAAGTGGCCTATTATTTTCATTTTTTTACTGGGACTTGCAAATTATGCAGCTGGTTCTATATGGCAGGAGATCAGTGGGAAGTAAAATGGTATTCCAGGACCAGGAGTCATTCTGGCAGAGTGAAAGAACATGTGATTTGAAGTCCATAGAGATGGGTTCAAATTTCAGCTTTGCCGCTAATTTGCTTTGTGATACTGAGCATTTCGTTTTATCCCTCAGGGGCTCTGTTTCTCAATTTTGATAATGGGTTTTTTCATTAGATAATGACTCAGTTCTGGCATTCCAGGTTTCCCTCAACTATTCTGGGAAAACCTCTTTGACCCACAGGCAGAGCCTAGGGCAGCCAAGTGCTTTCCACTCTCTCTCTCTGCAGCTTGGAAAGTTAGTGTCTGTTGAAAGTCAGCTGGGAGTTGGTGGAGGCAGGGCAGTGTTCTGCTACTATTGCTGCAGTAGCAGACCCTTTCACAACAGCATTGTTTTGTCATTTCGCACCCAGATTTCCGTTGGCTAACCTCAGTCTTATCTTCCTCATTTCTGTTTCCTGTTGAAGACACCAAGGGCCCTTCAAAACACACAACCTTCTTGCTCACGGCATAAAGCCCAGTTCCATCTGGCCCCTGCAGGTTGGCTCAGCACTGGGGAACCAGTGTCCCCTCCATGACCAAGGCACCACTCCACTGACAGGTATGGTATCAATTTGCCCTCTCTTCTTGCATTCCCAAGCTAGGGCAGTGTCTATGGCAGCCAAGGGTGGCTTGGATCTGCCCATTCCATTTTCCTCAGATCTTCCTCAGGGAATCAATGTCAAAGGTGGGGGAAGAAGGTTTCCATTGACTTTCCATCCTGGAACTTCTAGTAGTGGGGAAAAGGGGATAGGATATTTTCTAGCCAATTAGTATGTTTAGGAGAAAGTCACATGGAAGTGGAATGTTCTTTGGACCCAGGAGTCAGAAAACCGTAGTAGCAGTCCTGGTTTTACCATTTACCCAGTGTGTATCTTTGGGAAAGTCCTTTCTCCAATCTAGGACTCAGCTTTTTCACCCCTTTTGTAAAATAAATAAATAAATAAATAAATAAGAAAAGAATGATTAGATGAGTTCTGTATAGAGACTTTTAGTTATTAGATTCCTTATTTTTATGATTGTCAGCCCTCTGTCAAGAAAGAAGATGTGAGTAATCTTTGCATATGTAACTGTGGGTGGGGCTGAACACATCCAAGAGGAGAGCTGGTGGTAATCCATATAGCACTCTATATGGAGTGCATGGCTCAAAGATGAAAGCCTTTTCTCTAGTCCAATTTTTGACTCCTAGAAGTTCAAAATTGAAAGACTCTTAGAGACCAGGTACATGTGGAAGAAGAAACTGAGGTCCAGAAAGAGGAAGAAAGGGACTTGCCCAAGGTCATACAGAGAATCTGTAGGAGAGCTGGGTCTGGATTCCCAGGCCAGTCCTCTTTTTGCTCTGTCCTCAGAGGACAGAGACATCAAGCAGCAGAACCTGTCCTATAACTGACTCAGTTGGGCCTCCTCATAGTAGAGGCAGTCTGGATTTTTTAGGCATGGTCCTGAGGACTTCTTTTCTTCTATTCTTCTTTCAGATACTTGGCTCACTCTAAGTGTTCAGAGATTCCCAGACACCTACCCCTCCTACTTCTGGTTGGTTCCCTCCAATTCCCTCCATAAAAACTGACCCATCTTTTGTGCCAATAATAGTGGCTTTGTGAAGCTCTTCAATAGAAGATTTTGCATTTCATATGGGAGAAAAATGATGTTATTCCAAATAATGTAACAGACAAAGAAAAGAGCTTCCAAATTCCTTTAATATCATCCCACATAGACATTTATCTCTATGGGTCTGGCCAACATTTCTCAACTGAACCTGATTTTCTTATATACACTCCATTGGAGAGGCATGGACTAGAACAGCAAGAGTGGAAATGAAACCAGTCTAGTTTCAGCTCAGCCACTAACTTCTTCCATCAATATTAGAGCATTATTGTCTACAAGTACCTCCAAATTTTGAAGTACTAAGAATTTTCAGCTCTTTTCATGCCTTCTTTCCAGGCTTTCTGGGGGTCAATAAAGTCAGAGAGGGCATTCAAAAGGCTGTGAATACCTGCAGCTTATCTAGGCCTTCTTACTGGAGCTGGTAGCCAATGAGGGTAATGATATAAAAAAGGTAAAAATATATTTCTCTTTTGCCTGCCATCCCCAACTCAAACTCTGTTAATCAGCTTGCTTGGCTGGCCTCCAACCACAGGTCTAGGGAATGAGCCAAAGTCCTTTTGGGCTCCGGTGTGGGAATCTCTGGAAAGCTTAGCAACGCTTTCCAACAACTTCGCCAGGTAAGTGTTCTTGTCCTTATTTCCAGAGAAGACAACTGAAGCCCGAAGAAATACTTGCCCAAGCCATGATTGTCTAGTTGATGGCCAAGACAGCATCAGAACACAAGTTTGTCTGATTTTTTCATACCATATCTGGTGACCATGACTGCTGCTTTTGCTGCTGGGTGACTTAGGCTGGATTGAGTAGGTAGAAAAGGAAGCGAGGGAGCAAATGAGCCTTAGTTTTGAGGTTACTGCTAGAACTTAAATTGAAGGGGCATGTTAACCCCTTACATTCAATTAAAAGAGTTGAGCAAGAAAAAACATTGAGTGTTTTCTTGCTGAAAAACAAGGCTGAATCCTTCTGTCTTGCCTTGGCTGGAACAGGGCTTTCTGGCCTCGTGGGGACAGTTTTCCATTTATGGCAACCTTGAGATTTTTGCCACTTTTCATGACAGTATTTAATGTAGACCAGCTACCTGCTCACAGATCGACTGCCACAGCTGGTAAGGGCAATAATTTGACCCTGGCAACCCGGCATTTTTAGTAACAAGTTCTGAGTGTTGCCAAGGGAATTCTCCCAGAAGTTTCAGACCTGACCCTTCTTCTGGCATCTTCCTTATTGCACTGGTGACTTGTGGGTTCAGTGATCCCAAATGCTGCATTGCAAAGGTACTGTCTGTTTTTGCCCTCTTTGTTGCTGTGTCTCCCCTTTCCTAGAGGAATATACGGAGAAGGGAGGCAAAAGAACCAATGAGGAAAGCTGTATAATGCATACTGCTGAACTATAGAAAACTTATTGTATAAACTTTACAAGTCTCCTCCCCAACATGAGCCTTTGTTCTCTCATTTATAACCTAAGTGAGTGAGACTAGATGATCTTTAAGGGCACTTTAATAGCTGCCATTCTTGAGTCCCTATGGGACAAAAGGATCATGTTAGGCAAGGCTGAGACCAAGAGAAATCAATGTCACACCTGTCCAGATTCTGCTAAATCAATTGCCAATAGCTCTTGCTTTCATTTTGGTGTTACAATCACTATTTTTTTTGAGCATTTGTTATGTATTGAATACTGAACCAAAGGCTTTAAGTGCATTTTCTCCTGTCATTCTCACAATAACCTTATGAGGTAGGTATTATGCTTACATACATTTTGTGGGAGTAGCAAACTTGCGCTCAGAGAGGTGAAATGATTTATCCAAAGTTGTCTGGCTAGCTAATGGAAGAGCTAGGATTTAAGCTCATGTTTAACCTCAAAGCCTATGTATATAGCCACAACACTGTGAAAACACATCTTGGGGGAACTGAGAAGAAGAGGGAGCAAGGATGATGACTCTGGAATCTGGTACTTTCCCCAAGTCAGACAGGCAGGATGATGACCAAATTTTCTCCTCTTTTCTTCATAGAGGAAACCACTGAAGCTTGGGACACCTAGAAATGCCATAGCTACAGGACTCAGGTCTGAGGACCTTCCAGCTGAGCACTGGGTGTCAATCAGGCCTTCCCTGCTTGTCCTTAGGATCTCTCTTCTGGTTAGGAACCTTATGCCTGTTCTGCTCACTTCCCTATTCTGGTGCTTGGACTGGTCTTTTCGCAAGTTTTCTGGGGCTAAGAGTGTGATCTCATCACTTCTTTCTCTCTCTTTCCCTCCAGGGTCACATCTCCCAGGAAGATCTCACCTTCCCACAGAAGCCCCTGGCCTGGCCTCCTGCAGTGCCACACTCCGTGTATTTGACAAGCTGAGTTGGACACTCCGTGTGGTAGAGTGTCAGTTTGTCAAATACCCCAAGTGCGACACATGCTTAGCAGCTCCAGACCAGGGCAGATGGGATATAACAGATGAACTGCCAGCTGGATACAAGGATGCTCACCAAGCACCAAGTTCTCATGAGTTATTTTATGTGACTTTGCAGGAACTGATGCATTATATCTGAGGACACCAGGGGAAAAGTGTGGCATATGTGGGCAATACAGCCCTGGGCTTCGTCTACACACATCATGAGAGTGCTGATGGGAGCACAATAGTCTTGAAAATGTATAAACGGTCCAGGAATGGAAGTGCTCATGGATACATTATTATTTTCTTCCTTCACATTCTCCTCCCAGAGTCTCCCATCTAGGACACCAGAATTCTCACATAAGCATCATAGCTTATGTGAGAAAGCAGGGCTTAGAAATTCACTTTCTTGATGCTCAGTCTTGGCTTCTAAATACTCCTTGACCTTGCCTACCTCTTCCCTTTTCCACGTCTTTTCGTCTAGGGAGACTTTCCCCATTTATTTCTGTCTATTCAAATCTTCCCCATATTTCCTGGCCTAGCCAAAGTCCAGTGTTTCCAGAGACTTTTAAAAATCAACTTATACTTTTTCCTTCTTCACTCACAAAGCACTTCTTGCCTGGGCCCTGGTATGTGCCTCTTTCTCTCTTACTGTCTAACAGCACCTCTTGAATTGTCAATGAACTTTTCTAGGGGAGTATTCTTGAATTTTCAACTAGATTGTGAGCTTCTAGAAGACACGGCTATGTATCTTTGATTGCTGTCTCCCCTACCACAGCCCAGTACTTTGGTTACAGAAACAAATAAACCTTTATTGATTGATTGACTTTCCACTAGTCCACTATCTTTAGGCCTTGGGGCCAAATTCTACCCTGGATTTTGAACAAGAAATCAAACTGCGTACACCAAATGTTATAGAGCATATTATGTAGTAGCCAGCGTGAAGGGTTTTTTCTTCCTGAGAAATTGTCAAGGGCTGGAAGAAAAGGACAAAAGAGAAGATTCAGAGGGCAAATACATTTTAGTATTACTTGGTTACACAGTTATACAGGTGTTTTATTACAGGATTTTTCAGAGCCTTTAATAGTGTAATGTTACATTGAGAATCTCAAAGACGAAACCGTAGAATGAGGCATTTGCCACACTTAACTGATATGAATTCTTTTCCCACAGGAAAAAAAGACTTTTCCCATGTGTCAATTTTTTCCCATGTATTAATGGCCCATGAAGCAACATTTGGGAAACTATCCTAGAGAAACTTCACACCTTCTCTCTGTTCTGGAGATCTTTTCCTCTTTTTACTCATCTACTTTCTCCAACCAGCCACCAGCCTAAGAAAGGTCCCATGTTACCTGGTTTTTGTTTAGCCTATTCTGCAGCTTTGAACTATCTCTATACATAGGAATTTTTTACTAGCTTGTCCTATCTGAAAAAAATTCTCATCTTTGAAGCAAAGAAGATCCAGATGCTGCAATAAATATATGCACTGAGGAGTTCACAGGGCTGACTTTTGGTCTCCATTCTACCACTAACTTGGTTGTTGTTCCTCTCTGAGCTTCATTTTCTCATCTCTAATACGGGAGTATTAGAATCAGTAATCTCTAGGCTCTTTATTTAAGATGCATGATTTTGAGATATCCCTGGGAGTCCTTAGCTCTTAGGGAGAAGTGTGCCTGGATTTGTGGCTCATTTTACTAGTGAAAATGCAACCAGGATTCTCTCCCCAACACCTGAAACTCATTTTTTGATGGGCAGCAGGGAAAGATAATGGGTATTTTCAAAGGCTGTAGGGGCTGGACACAGAGTTGTTTCATGAAAGAAGGTGAGGTTTCCACTGGGTGGAGGCCCTATTTCAGAGGCTTGTAAGCACCAGGGGGAAGAAAGAGTTGTTCCTTTCACCGACTAGGTGAAGCTAGCATCTGGAATGAGGAAAATGTTGAGGTTTCTACCACGGATCTGGCATGTTAGTGAAGTGGCGGGTTCCTTTTTGTTACTTTTGTGTACTATTTTGAAGTCTGTAATCATCGCAAAAGGGGAACAGCACCTTGTGAAACGTGAGCTGTCCTTTGGGGCTGCGTGGGAACCAGAAGTAGCAACATGGCAGATTCTTTGAAGAGTGCATAAGTTGATTTGACATTAATTACATGGGGAAAAGAAAGCTGTGTAGACCTGGGTCAGAACAGGTTCCCACAGAGGAGACTTATTTAAAGGTGCAGGAACTTATGTACACACACAAACTCACACACAAACTCTCTCTTTCTCTCTCTCTCCCCTAACCCTGTTCCTGCTGGAAGAGAAAGGCTTTCTTGCCCTTACCCCACCTCACATTGTAAGAAATGGCGTAAAGAAGATAACCTGTGAAAAATGCAACTACCCCCAAGATTTTAAGATTCAAAGAGGTGAAATCCTTGGGAGTGGTGCATCCATACTTTGGAAAGAAGGAAATCCCTTCATCTCTGCATTCATAGTCCCCCGAGACAGAAGGACGTTTTCTTTTCCAGGCTTCCACTTGATGTGGGAAGAATCATCCAGGTGGACCTGGCAGGATAGTACGTGGGGTAATGGAAGCCAGACGAGTACTATGTAATCAAATATTCACGGTGTTCCAGCTGGGCTTACCAGTGGAGTAAAGTAGGAGTGGCATGTGTGGGAAGGGGAAAGACCAAAAAAGCAAAAGTGACATCCATACCCTCAGAGGCCCCAACCATCTTAACTAGTCTCACTTTAATTACGTTTCGTAGGTCCTACCATACAGTGAGAGAAGAACAACACAACTGAGATTGCTGTTATGATTAGATATTTATTGAGCATTAAGAGGCAGAACATTAGACTTTCAGTGCAGGAGCAGAGCTGAACCCTGGTCTGTGATATGACAATCTCAATTAAAAGATGTCTGGCCCTGAAGGAGGAGAAATGATCCTGGATGCAGCTGGTCCTCTGAGCTGGCAGAGCTGAGTCTCCCGTTCGTCTTCTGGTGGCAAGATGCCAAAGTTGAATGGTGCCTGTAGGCATGATGATAAAGTCCTAGTGCTATGGGTATCTTCCCTCTGGTGTTTAGAGAGGAGTACCAGAAATCCCAGGCAGAGATACTAGAAGGGCCCAGGGCCAAATCCAGCAGTTGACTTACTTGAAATGCATCTGACAAATTCTAAAGCAAAGCCAGTGACTCCCAGGGGGCCCATTATTGGCAGGGCAGAAATTTGAGGCTATTCATGAAGATAGGTAGCAGGGAAGGTGGCTATGCAGAAGGCTAGGACTGTACAGGCAATTATGTCAGCAGATCCTGGCCTAGTGGGGCATTTTAAACAGACACTCTTGCCTCAGTGGCCAGAAACTCATAATACAGAGGAACTGCGTGCAGCTGTGTGCAGCAGCCGGGTGTAGTCACCATTGATCTGGGTGATGATCTGGTACTCCTGGCCTATGCAGGGCTGATCGGAGTAGTTGTTGCTCAGATTCTGGGAAGTTGGCTCATCACTGGAGCAGCCACTTGAGAAGATGGCCACCCTCATGGTTTCTCCAGAGTCGTTGGCCTCCCTGGCATGCACCCTATGGCCCAAGAGCCCACCACCCAAAAGAAGGGGCTTCAGGCTGGGGTCCTGGTTTCCCACCCTTCTGCCTCAATTCTTGTCAGTTAATTCTCAGGATTCTGCCTCCCAAAGATTCTGGGAGCAGAAGGCTGATGGATTTAAATTATCCTTTGTGTTCAGAGGGCCAAGACAACCTCAGGAGGTGCCTGAGACAGGGGAGAAAGCTAAGTCCTGACCCTGAAGGCCTCTGGCCTTAGGATTCGGTCTGTGCCACACCCCGTTTCCTCTACGTTTCCCACATATAATCAAAATTGGGGGCAGGGAAGGGGTCAAAAACGGAAGAGGAGAGGCTTTCTTACCTGGGTGCTTCACAGACATGCTCTAGAAAAGAAGGAGGAATCATGTCAGAAGTTTTCATGGCAAGTGGACAAGGGTCAATACCAGTTAAAAGACGAGGGAAGGGTACAGAGAAGGAGATTTTATGTCTCAGCTTTCCAACAACTGGGAGGTGTGGGAGAGGTGAATTGAAACACAATGATGCAGATTTATCAGGGAAAGGAAGGAAAAGCACAACCTTTTTGTCATCTCTGACTCAGGATATTGGGCTGGAGCAGTTTCTGGGTATGGGTAGGGGGAGGGCACTGGAACTGGACCTGCTCTTTAACCATGAATCTCCCCCAAAGATCCCCAGAGAGTCCTTGTGGGAAACTTGACTGTCAGGCCAGAGACCAGGAAGAAGGGGCTGGATTAGCTTGATGCTGATGACCATGACCCAAGCCATTCCCAAATGCAATCACCCCCACCATATACCCAGGAAAACCCATGAAATAGGTCACCATTGCCCCCTAGTGTCTGAAATAGTGTTCTGTATTCCATACAGGCTCAAAGGCTTAGGTTGGTACAAAGATAGATATTTCTTGGTACTGCCCTCTAGGTGCTTATAATTTTTCTGGGCTGCAACTGGAAATGCAAGCATTAAATGACAAAAAAGTAAACAAGGCAAGCCACAGGACTTCTGCCTTGTGCTAGAGTCCTGCATTTCTGTGTCTTACCTCCCCCATTGGCCTATGAGTTCTTGTACTGCAAGGGTCATGTCTTTTTCATCTGAATATGCTCAATGCCTGTCACAGAATAGATGCTCAGTAATTATATTAAATTAAATTGATGCCCTAAAGCTATCTTCCTTATAGAGAAGTAGGAAAGAGAAAAATCTGGAAATGAGACTAGGTATAAGGAAATGATGGACGTTAGAAAATTGGCTACAGCATGATCACAGAGAGCATTGAACAGAATATGACCTTTATTCCTTGGGCCATGAGAAGCCATGGAAAGTTTTTGAGAGAGAAAAAATTTAATGTGGTTACCATTTATGCCCAACCTCATCAAGACTGTGAGAAATACTCTCCTTTTAGTGCCCCTGGGGTTTGTGGCCATGTGAGGTATCTCTGCTATCACGTTCAGTCTCATGGTGATAGCCATGTTAACTGGCCAAAGCCAGAGCTTATACTTGAGATCTGAGAGAAGGAGATACTCAAGACTCCCTTCTGCTGGTGGAAATCCGTGAGACCCATGGTAGAAATCAGGCTGTTTGGGAGTAAGAGTTACTACAGAAAATAACACTAACGCTAGGGAAAATGACCAGTGCACTGGGTATTGAGAGTTTTTTTTTTTGTTTGTTTGATTTTTCCTTTTAGAAACAAACATCTCAATATTCTTTTTTCTCCTCTGTTGGCTCATAGTTTTTAAATGACTCTGACAACTGTGCTGTCATTATGCCACTTCCATGCTTGAAAAATTTGGTGACTTTTAGTGCCCTTACAAAGCCTAGTGAAGAAATCTGGCATTCAGGGCCTTCTATAATCAGGAATAAGCTTCCCTTTCCCACGGTACTTCCCTGTTGCCCATCTACAGATTTTTTTTTTGTTGATGACCCCACTCTCAGTTGTCTTTTAGGTCTTTACAACTTTGCTGATGTAGTTCTCTCTTCCTGAAATACTGTCCCCTTAAGAATTATTTTCATCTGTTAAAATGTGGTCGAAGATACTCCTCCTTCTGAAATCCCTCCTTCTGAAATCCCTTGCTAATTGCTCAAGCCTTAAATGATTCTCTTCTCCTCTGGATCCCTTTAGTGTTGATTGTCTTCTCTAGGTTTTGAACTCATAGCCTTTATTGCTATGTGTTATTATTGATAAATTCCATGTTTCTACCTTGAATCTCCTAAATAAATTGTAAGAAACTTGAAGGCAGGGAGTGTGACTTTTCCTTCTCTTGTATCATTACAATGACTCATTAAAAGATGGATGTACTTGACTGAGTACCAAAGACTAGTGCATTTAGTTCCATAAGTCTTATGCCATTGTTTGCCTGAACGTCTATGTCTTTGCACTCTAACCCTCACTCCTGAACCAGGCTGGGAGCTTCTTGAAGTGCCCAACACAATGCTTGATACAGAGTTTAGGTTCAAATATACTGACAGAAAGAATAAAGGAGCCAAAGCCATCTTCTCATATTCATCACTCACCTTGTTGGGACGTCTTCCGGCAGAGCATGATATAGGCCATGGTAAAAACCACCATACAGCACAAGGAGATGATGAGGATGATGGCAAAGATAGGCATGCTCTTTCCTAGGGGATAAAACAAGGTCAAGTGGTATCTGGTTGAAAATAAGGCCAGAAACAAGAACTCTAAGGAGCAGACCAGACTAGGCCAGACCTTTTTTTTTTTTTTTTTTTTTTTCCTTTTTCCATATTCTCCTAACCTTCTTAGCTAGCCAGAGAGACAAATTAAACTCCAGGTCCATGAGAAAGACTTGAGAAAGAGATGCCAGGTTCTTCCAGACTCACTGGTTGGCTGATTTGCCTGGGCATTTGAGCTAGTTCTCCATGCTTTCTACATGGCCAAAATTGAGGGTTTTCACTTTCGCTTAGAAAAAAGAAAATAGGACCAGGCGCAGTGGCTCACACCTGTAATTCCCACCACTTTGGGAGGCTGAAGCGGGCGGATCACCTGAGGCCAGGAGTTTGAAACTAGCCTGACCAACATGGAGAAACCCGGTGTCTACTAAAAATACAAAATTAGCCGGGTATGGTGGCACATGCCTGTAATCCCAGCTACTTGGGAGGCTGAGGCAGGAGAATCACTTGAACCTGGGAGGCAGAGGTTGCAGTGAGCCGAGATTGTGCCATTGCACTCCAGCCTGGGTTACAAGAACAAAACTGTCTCAAAAAAAAAAAAAAAAAAAGAAAAAGAAAAAGAAAATAATATCCTGATTTTCCAGCTTCACCAAAAATGCTACACACCTTATTAATATTCTGGTCAGTTACTTCTAGCCACAAAGATTCTTCCTATCATATTCTCTGGTTAAGTCCCCAGCTTCCTTCATCCTGAAAACATATTTCCACTGAGCCACTTGAGGTACATATTCCCATTATGCCTAAAAGTTGAAGGAATCAACTGGACTGGGCTGCCAGTCCTAGATCTGATATTTACTTGCTGTATGACTGTTGTAGGCAGAATAATGGTCCTCTAAAGATATTCACATCCAAATTCCTGGAACCTGTGAGTATGTTAGTTTACACGATAAAAAGGAATAGAGATTTGATAATGCTACATTTTTAGTTTTGAAAATGGAGGAAGAAGGCCATGAGCCAAGGAATGTGGGTAGCTTCTATAAGATGGAAAAGACAAGGAAATTAATTCTCCAATGCCTCCAAAAGGAACACAGTCTTTCTGACTGACACTTTGATTTTAGTTCAGTGATATTGTGTCAGACTTATCTCCAGAAGTGGAAGATAATATATTTATGTTGCTTTAAGCTACTAGGTTTGGGGTAAGTTTTTACAGCAGCCATGGAAAAATGAATACAGTAACCTTAGCCAAATCCTTGACTGTCACTAGGCCTTAGCTGCCCCTTAAGGTCAATGAAAAGATTGGATGAAGTCTAATGCACTTTTAGTTGTAATATTCTGAATCTAAGAGGGTAGATCGGGGATAGAGAGGCATATGGAAATGAATCTCAGTGTACTTAGGATTTATTGCTGCAGCTGGCTTGTTTTCATGAGACTCAAAGATATTATGTCCTAGGAATCCAGTATTTGTGGTCCTTAGAGTGTCTTGTTGGAACTAAGAGAATTCAAGTTATAAGCTGCTACAAATCAAAGAAATATTCTCTTTAAAAGAGAGTCAAGTACTGAAAAACTTGGTAGAGAAAATAGGGCACAAACCCAACATCTGAGAGCTTAGACTTTGCAGAAGGTTATTTTCTCATTTTCTAAATCAACTCTTCATGACACATTTTCTAACTTCTCTTCTCCCAATAGATGTTCTTCTGGGAGATGAATAGAGCTATGGAAGTCTTGAAGCCAAAGATGGCAATGCAAAGGTGGCACATAAAACAGGTTTGAGCTATGCCCAGAGATAGCCAAAAAGCTCTGCAAGTAGAAAAGGAGAGGTACAAAGAGCATTTGGAAGTCCACTCTCAATTATACACAGTCAGAGAATGAGTACCAGGAGTGAGAGTTATCAAACTATTTAATTTCAACCAATCCCAACAGATGCCTGCTGTAGACCTGGAGTCTTAGAGATTCCTTAGTATATCTTTTGTTGCATGACCATCGGAGTGGTCTAGAATGTTCTGAGTAATGGGCCAAGGCAGCCCAGGTGATAATGGAGGGCTCAGGGGTTAAGGAGAGCAGCTAATTATCAATTTGTGTGAGAGTGTTCTATTATTTCAACAGTCAATGTAGTCATGTCAGTGCATACCAATTGACTATCAGATGCAGGTGAAACACAAAAGATTTACTTGGGATTTGAATCTCTGAAACCCTAACTTGGGAATTTTTAAGGCCTTGGAGGAATCACAAAGCAGCTTTGAGCTGCTGGAAGAACCCTGGTTAAGAGCTCAAGTAATGAGATTCTGCCATTATCCTTACCTGGCTGAGGTCATGATGTTATAATGGCCCTATCCCTATTCTTGTCCAGAATACTGGGAAAGTATATTACTATGGCAACTGAGAACTAAATAAAGGACACATTTACCACTGCCCTTAACCTCATTTTGAGTTTGCTTATCCCTGGATCGATCTCTCCCTCTACCTCCCACCCACCTCACCCATCCTCAGGTCCTTGACCATTGCTTGGTACATAGCAGGTAATGATTTGCAGAGTTCAGTGCTGTAGAACAGTGTCTATAATGGGAATTTTTAGTCACAAAGCTTAGAGTCAAGAAGAAAAGATAGAAACCCTGACAGTGTTCTTACCTGGCCCAGGCTTGGTCTCTCTAAGGTAGCCATCCATGTCAGTGGTCCAGTCCCAGGGTTGCTTCACTGTAGATGTTGCTATGAATATAAAGAATAGGGTCAGGGATCTCTTTTCTATCAAAAAACTGAGAGGTAGGAGATGATTGCAAAGGTTGGAGTCCTCCTCTAGCCATTTGTGCTGGACCTTCCAGAGTGCCTGGCCATGTTATCAACCACTAGTACCATGAGATGAGGCATCTTCATTTCTTACCGTTAGGGGTGGGAAGTGAGAAGAAGAACCATTAAGGGGAGGTAATATGCCCAAAGTCACACAGCAAGTCAAACTAGGAGCAGAATAGAATTCAGTGTTCTTTTTTCTTGTATTTCCGATGGGAGTATTCTAACTCTTTCCTTCCTTTTGCCTCAGAAGTTTCCAAAAAGAAGAGTATATATTCAGCACTGTTACCTTTCTTTTGTTTCCATTCCTTTACTGCTATGTTGTCTCTGAGAAACCAAGTGACTATTTATTAGCCATTCAATGACATTGTGATTCCTTCCTTGGCTACCATGACACCATTTTGGACCTCTATGACTCCCGCAAACCCTAGAAAAACTCACCTTTCAAGGGGTATCTCATGGTTGTAGGTGCCTCAGTACTGGTCTTGAATAGCTTTGAAGAGTCTGCAAGGAAAAGGGAACTCATTCGAGGGATCTTGTACACTTGGGTGACTAGCTTAATGCCCTAGGGGAATTGGGAAGTAAGTAAAGGCCAGTCAGGTCCATACTTGGACTTGTCTCAACATTGCTGTTATGACGCTGGTAAGTCCTGTGTTGCTTGTTTATCTTTCATACATCAATCTAGAAGAGAATTTTTAAACCACGATTCATAGATCTCGAAGGAACCTGTAGCTAGAGTTCAGAGGATTAGTCAACTTGTATGGAAAAATATATTTTATTTTTACTAGCTTCTAGCTAAGACTTAGTAATTAATTCTCTTGAGAGAAACTTAGAAAGTATCACAAAGAAGGTGGCAATGGGTGGCATTAATGAAAATGGTGGCATAATAACTTTCAGAAATTTACCCTTTAACAAAATCAGTAAAATAATGCAAAATTTGACACAAATCAACTTTTTTCAGAATTTTGCAAATTAGCCAAAGGTTTGCAGCAACTTAGTGAGGATTTATGGAAGAAAAATACTGCAGTTTTGGTAAGAACAACAAGCTTTAAGTTGTTTTAACTTATTCTAGTCCCCTTACCCCCTCTAGCTCAGAGGGCATCTTGAACATAGATCCAACCTTATTCCAGGTGCTGGAGTGAGCCCAACAAACTTCATTTTTGAACAATTGCCATTATTTGGCCTGTCTGGTGGCTCCCTGAAAGACCTGACTCAAAAGAGTTGTTTTATTGGTCACTCAGTGCTAAGAGCCTCTCCTCAGGGATGGAGTAGCATTTGTCACACAGCTGCCTGAGGCAATGCATTATAGGTGAGAGAAACAAAAAATGAACCAAAATAGCCTTAAAAAGAGTTGAAGAATAAGATTTTCATAGGGATTTTGAAAAGTTCTGACACAGTTCTGGGAAACTAGAAGGCCACACACAAGCACAGGGCTGTGTGCCTGCTCAGGAAAGACATGAGAGAACCAACCATAAGCTGCTCCCTCTGGCTAGCTTAGAAGTTCGGCATAAGCAGGAAGTGATGGCTGTGGCACAGTTGAAAACTGCCTGGTTTAGTATTGAAGACATGATTCAAAAAGCAATATAGCTTTTTGGTAAAGACTAGGAGATTTATTTGTTCCAGGTTAAATAAATCTCTATCCAGCCAGGCATGGTGGCTCACACCTGTAATCTCAGCCTTTTGGGAGGCTAAGGTGGGTGAATCACGAAGTCAAGATGTGAAGATCATCCTGGCCAACATGGTGAAACCCCGTCTCTATTAAAAATACAAAAATTAGCTGGGCGTGGTGGCGTGCACCTGTAGTTCTAGCTACTTGGGACGCTGAGGCAGGAAAATGACTTGAACCCGAAGTTGGAGGTTTCAGTGAGCCGAGATCATGCCACTGCACTCCAGGCTGGTGACAGAGCAAGATTCCATTTAAAAATAAATAAAGAAAGAAATCGCTATCTAATTATTAGCTGACCACGAAGCTAGCAAAGTAAAAACTTCAGTGTCCATCCATGACAAAGAAGACAGAAGACAACTAAACAGAAAAAGTTCAGAAAAGTTACTAAACAAAAAACAACTACTACAACAAAGAATGTCAACAACAAGCCCTGAGGAGAAAGTGAAACTGATTTTCACAGTTGCCACATTGTGTTGCTTAAAAATTCCAATATTTAACCAAAAATATATGAGACATGCAAAGAAACAAGAAAGCGTATCCCATAAACAGGTAAAAAGTCAATCAATAGACACTGCCTCCAAGGAAGCACAGATGTTGTATTTGGTAGAAAAGGCAATTAAAATATGTTAAAAAAAATAAAGGAAAACATGTCTAAATAACAAAAAGAAAGAATGGAAATGATTCAAACAGAATAGATAATATCAGTAAAGAGACTGATATTTTAAAAAGAAACCAAATAGAAATACTGGAGTCAAAAAACAATAACTAAAAGGAAAACTTCACCAAAGGGTAGAAAAATTCACTAGATCAGATTTGAGCAAGCATAATAAAGACAGTAAACTTGAAGATATGACTATTAAAGATATTCAGTTAGAGTAATAGGAATGAAAATTCATGAGCAAAGAAAAATGAACAGTACCTCAGAGACCTGTAGGATACCATCAAGTTTACCAACATACATGTAATGAGAGTCATAGTAGACAAGAATAAGAGAAAAAGACAGAATATTTGAGGAAATAATGTCAGAAAATATTTGAGTTTGATGAAAAACAATAATCTCAAAATCTAAGAAGCCCAACAAACTTTAAGTATGATAGACTAAAAAATATCCACACCTGGACACACTATAGTGGAAAGCCAAAGCCAAAGAGAGAATACTGAAAGCAGAAAGAGAGAAGCAACTCATCATGTATAGGGGATTCTTAATAAGATTAATAGATGATTTCTCATTAGAAATAATGGAGATCAGAAGACAATAGGATGAAATAAAGTATTGAAAGAGACACCCTATAAATCAATAATTCTATATTATTACCTTCAAAAATGAGGGAAAAAGTAAGACATTCCCAGATAAACAATAACTGAGAGAATTAATCATCAGCAGATCTGACCTATAGGAAATATTAAAGAACATTCTTTAGGCTGAAATAAAAGGAAAGTAGATAGTAACTTGAATCAAGATGAAAAATAAATAAATAAATAAAAGGCACCAGCAAAGGTAACTACAGGAGTATATGTAGAGTGTAGATGTATTTTTTTGTTTGTAACTTCTTTTTTTCCTGATTGACAAGACACCACATAAAGGAATAATTATAAATCGATGTTGATGTGATTATAATATACGAAGGTGTAACGACATTGAAGAAGGAGGAATGAAACTATATAGAAATAAAGTTTTTGTATACTATTGAAATCAAGTTAGTATAAATCCAGATTAAATTGTAAACTAAGAATTAATGGCAATATCCAGAGAAACTACCAAAAGTATTCAAGGTATGTAGTAAAGTAAACAACAAAGGAGTTACCTACTACACTAGAAATTATCTGCTTAACACTAAAGACAGCAGTAGTACAGGAATGGAAAAATAAGAGATACATAAGATACATAGAAAGCAAATAGCAAATACCAGGCATGAATAATATCTTAGTAGTTACATTAAATGTAAATGGATTAAACTCACATTTGAGGGCAGAGATTGGCATAGTGGTTTAAAAAACGATCTAACTATATGTTTTACACACTTAGGGTTCAAAGATATGAGTGATTTGAAAGCAAAAGGACAGAAAAAGATATACCACACAAACAGTTACCAAAATAGAACTGCCTATAGTAATGTTTGACAAAATAGACTTTAAGACAAAAATTGTTAGAAGAGGCAAGAAAGGACATTTTATAATGATAAAACTATCCATCATAAAGGCACTTTAATTACAAACAGAAATGCTTCTAACAGCACAACCCCAAAATACATAAAGCAAAAGCTGATATAATTGGAGGGAGAAATAGACAACTGAACAATAATAGCTTGAGATTTTAACACTCTACTTTTAATTACAGACAGGACAACTAGAAAGAAGATCAGCAAGGGAGTTAAAGACTTGAACAACACTGTTAACCAACCAGACCTAATACATATATACAGAATACACACAACAGACAGCAGAATACACATTATTTTCAAGTGCACATAGAACATTATCTAGAATAGACCATTTGTTAGGTTCTAAAACAAATCTCAGTGAATTTGTATAAACCAAAATAATACAAAGTATGTTTTCCAGCCACAATGAAATGAAATTAGTAATAAATAACAAAAATTAATTTTTGAAGAAGAAATAAAAAACTTGAAAAGACAGACTTTGAACAAGGAAAAAAATTGAATTGCTCACTGAACAACTACCAACAAAGAAAAGGCCAGACACATGTAGCTTCACTTGTGAATTTTATCAAACATTTAAAGAAATATTAATGCTAAATCTTTACTAATTATTTCAAAAAATTAGTGAGATAATACTTCTCAACTCAGTATATGAGATCAATATTACTCTAATATGAAAGCAGAGACATCAAAAAAACAATAAAAGGGGAGAGGCACACAATCATCACAATAGACACAGAAAAGGTATTTGACACAATCCTTACATGATAAAATACCCTCACATGATAAGACTATTCAACAAACTAGGAATAGAGGAAACTTTCTCAACCTGATGAAGGACATCTACAAAAAATCCATAGCTAACATCAAACTTAACTGTGAAACATTGAATGTTTTTCCTGTATGATCAAGAACAAGACAAGGATGTTTATTCTTTTCGTGTTTATTCACCATTATACTGGAAGTACTAGCCAGATAAATGATTCAAGAAAAATAAATAAAAGTCATACAGACTGGGAAGGAAGGAATAAAACTATATCCATTTTCAGATGACATAGTCATGCATAGAAAATTCTTAGAGGATGTGGAGAAATAGGAACACTTTTACATTGTTGATGGGAGTGTAAATTAGTTCAACCATTGTGGAAGACAGTGTGGCGATTCCTCAAGGACCTAGAAATAGAAATTCCATTTGACCCAGCAATCCCATTACTGGGTATATATCCAAAGGATTACAAATCGTTCTACTATAAGGACACGTGCACACGAATGTTCATTGCAGCACTGTTTACAATAGCAAAGACCTGGAACCAACCCAAATGCCCATCGATGATAGACTGGATAGGGAAAATGTGGCACATATACACCATGGAATATTATGCAGCCATCAAAAACGATGAGTTTGTGTCCTTTGTAGGGACATGGATGAACCTGGAAACCATCATTCTCAGCAAACTGACAGAAGAGCAGAAGATCAAACACTGCATGTTCTCACTCATAGGCAGGTGTTGAACAATGAGAACACATGGACACAGGGAGGGGAGCACTACACACTGGGGTCAGTTGGGGAGAAATAGGGGAGGGACAGTGCGGGGTGGGAAGCTGGGGAGAGATAAAAAGGGGAGAAATGCCAGATGTAGGTGATGGGGAGGAAGGCAGCAAATCACACTGCCACGTGT